AGATTTACCTGCCTTGGTGTGAAAAGCATGACCTGTCTTATTACAAACTCATTTACATATGATATTGATGCAATAATTTTTGGTTATTCGCAATCAACACGTCTAGCCTAAGCTCAAAAAATGATCGACTCCATATTCCAGATGGATCAAATCCTCGCCTTCCTCCGTTTGCTTTTAGTGGTGATGAACAACACGATGGTATAAGATCAGTCAACGAGGTGAGTATTCTCCTAGCGTTGTCGCATAATAGTTTTCCAAAGTTTCGTTTCCAGCTTGAATCGATTCAATCGGTGACAACAACTTCTCCTACTACTGCATTTGAAGACGCGAGAGTAGCTGACTCCTTAGCAGAAATGGATCGTTTGGAAGCTGGGCAGGTAACGAGATACTTAGCGGAAAAGATTTATATTTTTGTAAAAAAAATTCTAGAAACAAGGAACTTCATGGCAATCTACAGGAGCCATCGCTGGAGCACAAGTACCGCCGATGGAGCGTGTGGAAGAATCTGTTGACACGGTAGATGCTCTTGTGCTAAACATCCTCACTTAGTCGAGTGTGTTTAGGTGATCGAATTAGGCCCTACCTCAACTGTAGCTCCTTCACAAGCGCCATCTGTTACGGAGTCTCTGGATCCAATTGCAGAATACAATCGTAAAATTGTAGAGGTTCGAACACGATTTTTTTTTTCAAAGATGTATAACGAACAGTGGGATTAGAGGCAGTTTTCGGGCAAAAACGTGAATATACGCTCTCAGGTCTTAGAGCTATCTTCTCGATACCGCTAGCCGCCCGGACATCGCCACCGTCCGATGAGAACGCGTGACTTGGAATCGGGACCGAGAATATAGCTTTGGAAGTCGGGAGCCTTGATTCGCAGTGGGCAAGACGCCACCCGCTGATTTCCCTTCTGCGTGGAGCCCTTTTTCGCTATTTTCGCGCTGTCCAGTGTAGATTTTCGATTCAGCTAGCGAATAGAGACGGATAAGCACAAAATCTCCAGATTAATTTTTTGCCCGGACACTGCCTTTGAGAGCCTCTCTCAACAAATGTGGGTCAAGCAAATCAATCATAGAACTTTTTACAAGATTGCTGAAAGTTGCACACATGATGACACATTCCATAATCACTCTACAAAATCAGTTTTACAGAAAAATTATTGGGGTGGGGGAGAGGAGGACATAACCACCGCCACCGCTATTGAAAATTTGGACTGAGAAACATTCGAAAAATTTTTGAAGACGCGTTATCCAGACCACGCCTATCTATCCAAAACTTTTCCATTTAAAAATTCAATTCAGCTCGCCTTCAAATTTTTTCCACATGTCTGATTTTGCTATTCAAGAAGTAATTTACTTATTGCCGCTATTCACATTAATGAAGTAGGAAAAACTCAAACGTCTGAAACCTAAACCGATAGTTTATAGTTGGCCAGACGACGAAGACTACTTAAGGAGCAAGGCTACAAGGAGTATAAAAAGATAATGTTCAAGGTTAGTTCTAATGCTCATACTTTTGCAGCTGTCTCGCATATGTGCTGCATTGTTCGAACTTTCAGAGTGGACGCAATATCGTTCCTGTTCGGCTTTTCTTCGACACTGATCCTCATCCAGAAATGCTACTAGAAGAGCCATTCAAGCGTTCTATCACTTCTCCAGCTGAAACCGATAAAAACACTAAAATGGTGGCAAGCGCAGAAAAAACCTTTGACGGTGCAGCTGCGACGAAGAACCAACTGCAAACGACATCCAAGCAAGCGCTACTGCTCAGCCCGGAATCACCTGCACCGTCCACTGTAGCCATTACTAAAAAAGGTTCTGTACCCGTAACAGAGCAGATTCTGATCACTGGTGTCACGAAGGGCGTAGAAGATATTGATGGAAGTGGATGGCCACCCACTACAACCATAGGGAGTGTATTAGACGCACAGGAAGAGCTTCTTACTGCCGGTCTTCACACTGGTGAAGTAGGAAAAACGACTCAAGCACTCACTTTGAAACCTAAACCGATAGTTTCGGGAGAAGTGGTGGAAAGCGGTGTTACCGCATTTGAAGCAAATCCTCCAGCAACAAAAAAATTTAGGGGAACCGCAAGTTCTGAGACAAATCCAACATCATTTTCGGGAAGTGAAAGCTCTGCAAGACCAGGTACTTCACTATCAACATCCGAAGCGTTTGATCTGACCTCCGCAAATACTGATGTGAATATATCGCGAGACAATGAGGAACAGCTAACAAATGTTGCTACTGGCCCAGTGAGTTCAAAAGGCTCAACATCATCACCTAGCATGACTACTGCTATCAAGACTATACCCGTTGCTGTTTCTCAAGCTAAAATAGATTCTGAAGTGACTACCGCTCTTCAGGGCGGATTTGATGAGCGATCATCAAGTAGTATTGACATTACTTCGACTACACTCAATATGAAGTCTCCTGTCGACATTACAACGGATGCCGAGAAAACTTTTGAAAGCTTGAAGTCAAAATCCGGCACTAAGGCTCCAAAGAAAAGTGGAACCAAGACCTCTGCCAGTGACTCATTGTCACAGATTTCCGGCTCCGAGCAGTCGACGAAGATTACGACTGGAGCAATCAGTACTGACGGAGAATCTTCTGAATCTGAAAGGGGTTCACAACTGGCATCCGAAAGTCAATCTTTAGAAGCTGGTGCCAATTCGCCAACATCCGCAGAAGGCACTTCTTCCGATTTCGCTACTAGTGCAATGCACTCTGCAACATTCGACGGCAAATCGTCCACATTGGACACTGATGCTCCTTCAACGTTCGATAGCATAACTTCAGATCTTGCAGCAAATCCCCAAACAACGTCTGATTCGCAGTCGTCTGTAACCTTAACAAATCCAGCCACATTCGAGTCAGAAATTACTAGTGATATTGTCAATACTGAGATACATTCGCCTACTACTCTTGATGCAGTTTCGACTGATATTACAGCGGACGCACAAAGCTCTCTTGGTACTTTATCGTCAGAATTGGTTCCAACTGATGAACCCACGACATTTCCTGAAGATATCACACGCTTTGGCAAAATGATTGAAGTGCGACCATCACCGTCCAGTCAAAAAGTCGAGGAACCACTAGAGATGATAGCTTTGCCTAGAGAAGAAAGTAAGTTCACATGAGTTAGAATTACATGTTTAGTTCCTCAGCTTTTTCTAATCTCATTGTTGTGTAACGGGAGAAAACAAGGTTTGAGGGTATAAGAGACTTCAAATTGGCTATTCTCGAAGCATCTGAATGGCTTGAAGAGTTTCATTGTCAACTTTTTCACATGCGTTTTGTTTTTGCACTGCTGTTTGCTGGTGGCCTTGTCGCTATAATTTCTGTCTAAGTGGGGCCCATTTAACAAAAAATCCTTAAAACATTAGCCTTTAGGAGTGCACATTAATTTTGAGAAGAACAACATAAAGCGAAAAAATAAGAAAAGATTTGGTAGTTAATGACGAAGAATTAGCACATGGAATATCAATCATTCAACTTTGACAGAGTCGAAGTTAGTCACACATCGGGGCATTCATAACAAAGAAACAAATCTAAAGTGCAAATCTACCGGGTTTGTGTACTCATTGTAAGTGATGTAACGTATGCTTTCGCGCCTTTCTACAAATTGCGCGTAAGTCCTTCAGAATGCTACCGTCTCTAACATGAAGCCAAATATCATGAGCTCTCAT